AAAAAAAAAAGGAAGTCGTATTATTTTGGTAAGATGTAACCCCAAGTTATAGGGTCCCACCTTATACCCACACCATTCTTAAAAAAATACAAAAAAAAAAAAATGTAACCTCTCAAGTTCCTTCAACTTGTTACTATTTTTATATTACTATTTTTATATTATATGTCGCCTGCCATATTTAATGTCGGTACCTCCATTAATAATGAAAACACTATTGAAACTCCGCCTTGAATTGAAGTCCAATTGAGACTATTACAAAAATGTCAACAAAAAGTATAAAAGATAAAAATATATAAATAAATCATGTAGGAGTTAATCAGAATTGACGTGCGAGGCAAAAATAAGGTGGTCTAATAAGTTGAACTGGAAATTCCACGTAGGAATCGTTGAACATAGGAAGTGTATTTTAAATTATTGCAATAAAAATGTGGTTAATAAGATGGCTTTCTATATAGATAATGTAGTATTGGAATTTGAACATTATTTGGTGTTAATTATTGCAATAAAATTTGCGGTTTTGCTATGAAACCAACAGTTTACTCTATAGTGGAGTCAACATTCTATATATAAAACAAGTAAATCATACCATATTAATAAAATTATATAGTGTTATTTAAGTAATCATCGAATATGGTAGGTTTACTTGTTGTATATAGAAGGTTCGCTCCACTATGAAGCCAACTGTTGGCTTCAGGAAAAAAAAACCGTAAAATCTGATTCTTTATGTTAATTACAAATCACTGCACTTTCTTATTTGTTTGGTAACCAACCGTATACTGTGATTTTTTACATGTGTTTAAAAAAACGAATATTAAAAATAGAATTATTATTTGAATATGCATGATCGAATAGCAAATATAATTACAAATAAAATGATATATGTAACATGACTTGCAATTTATTTAGTAAGAGAAGTATAAATATTTATAATATATATAATTGCAAATGTGAAAATAGCTATTTTCACTCCCTTTTGAAGTTTTTTTAAGTTTTTCACACAATACAATAAAAAACTGAGTTTTTCACCCTAGAAAGTGCGAAAGACATTGTGCGATGGATATGCGACAATTGCGCGATGACATTGTGCGAAAGTTGAAAGTGCGAAGACATTCGCATATCCTTCACACTTTCTGAAGTGGAAAAAAATTAAAGTGCGAAGGCATTGTGCGATGGATATGCGACAATTGCGCGATGACATTGTGCGAAAGTTGAAAGTGCGAAGACATTCGCATATCCTTCACACTTTCTGAAGTGGAAAAAAAATTAAAGTGCGAAGGCATTGTGCGATGAATATGCGACAGTTATGCAATTGATCTGCGATAGTTATGCGACAATTTTTCGCATAACCTTCACATATGTGACAGTTATGCGATGAACATGTGACAGTTTTCGCATAACCTTTGCACTTTCTGGGGTGAAAAACTTAGCTTTTTATGGGGCGGTGTGAAAATTTTAATGTATCATTGTATTGGGGTGAAAAAAGAATTTTTTTTCATTGCAAATTATGATGACAAACTAACGAATCATCTGTCGAACTATCCACGTCAATAATTAAATAAAAAAATTGTAATGTGTAATGTTTTAAATTATAATGATGAATTAAAAAGTGATCTATCGAGCAACAATATAAATTGTTAGCTTAGAAAAATAAAATATTTTTAAATAATATATTGTTATATATTATAATGATAAATCAGTCGATTCGACGTGGAGCTGCCATATAAGTTATTATATTAAAAAAATTAAAATATTTATAATATACAACACTATAAATTAAAAAAAGAAAATAAATAATATTGATGTAATTAAAAATTATTAATATTTTAACTTTAAATAAATATATATTACAGTCTTTTTCAATTAATTATTAGTTATAATATTCGACACATTTATTTTTATTTATTTTAGCATAACTTATTCTAAAAATTTAAATATTGTAGTAACATATGAGTAAGGAAATATAGTTAGAGAAGTACAAGTATTCTATTTATATTATCTATTGACAATGTTTTAAGATGCTAAATCGTCATTATTTTAATTCTAAACACGAACTCTAAAATGACAGTCATTTTATAATGAGTGAGATAAACATACAAATCATACGTTAAATTATTATATACCACAAAAACAAAGAAAAAAAAATATTAATTTTCAAATCTATTTTTTATGCTAATCAATATTCTTTCACAATTTTGATATATGTAATTTATCATTATTGCTCCGTATATCGTACGGGTTACATATTAGTTAAAAAGAAACAGCAAGAGATAGATTATTATTTTATTTTCTATACCATCCAATATAGATCTTTTTAATTTCCTGCCTGCCTAGCTAAAATTAATTAGCCATACATAATAATAATAATAATAATAATAATAATTTAAAAGATTAAAAAAAGAAAGAATGATACCAGTTGCCCGTGGTGCCATCTGCTAGGCCGTTAGTCCTATTACCAGTTACATAACCAACCTCATTAATCTCCCTCACCACATCCTTATCAATTTTTTCCAGCAGCCCCAATGCAGTGCTCAGCAACTGTATGGGACCACGGTCACGACCTTCTCCCCGCACCGCCGTCAGATCCTTCTCGAAAACCGCTACATCAAATCCGCTCCGCTTGGCCGCCACCGCAAAAACGAGCCCTGCAATCCCCCCTCCGGCTATCAACACCTTCAGTTTTTTGCTACCATTATCATCACACCTCACCATTACAGACCGCGGCTTCCGGTTATTCCGGGATTTTCCCAGAAACAGCTGAGATTTGGCCGGAAAATCCAGCGTCATTTGAAACGAAGAAGCCATGTATCATGTATGTAATAGAACTTATTAGACCAAAATTTTATTCAATGAGAGATATATAGTTGGTGATATACGTTGTTCTTCAAATTTTGCGATGTGGACGTTTGAGTTATTCTTCAAACAATGCAAACTTCTATTTATAATATCACATTCACATATATAATTAGTGTGTGTGTGTGTGTGTGTGTGAGAGAGAGAGAGAGAGAAGAAAATTTCAATTGCCACAGGTCCCAGGAGGTTTGACACGGATTAATCAAATTAATTAATGAAGTTTCCACAATGTATTGTGGCAACTACATGTTAATATAGGGAAATGCTACAGTCCCGTTACGGTATCATCCCGTCGATTGTTTTAACCGTTGGATCCATATTTAGTTAGATAAGATAGATGATCCAACGGTTAAAATACCCGACGGGATGGTACCGTAACGGGACCGTAGCATTTCCCGTTAATATATATATAATATTGGTATTTCAGAGAAAAGACCGCCCATATCACGTTACAACGAAGCAAAATCGATCAGGTACCATTTTTAGACTTGTTCCACAACATTTGTTGCGTTATATTACAAATCCTTCCATTTAAAAGCAATTTTTCCCAACGGTCAACTTTTTTTTTTTTTTTTTAAACGGTAGGAAATGCCCATATAAACACAAAAGCAAATGGTTTACAAATGTAAACACATGTGCTCTAAATAAATAGAAATATAAACTATAAGTACTACAAACACAATTCAACCAACAAATATTATAGGGTAAATTGCACCAAACTCCCTTGTGTTTAATGAAATGTGCGCGTTTCCCCACTGTGTTTTAAAAACTGCACCAGATCCCCTTGTGTTTAAGTAACCGATGCACACGTTCCCTTTTTTCAATCTCCAGTTAACGGTGTTAATTTTTTTTTACAGAAATCCCGTTATACCCTTCAAATATTATATATATATTTATAATAAATTGAATTTCTCACGATATATTGAATATATCGCGAGAAATTAAATTTAAAAAAAAAAGTTGTCTCATGGGATCGAACCGTGACCTCCTAAAGAGCATGACAAGCAACCAACCAGTACACCACTCAAGCTTTAGTGCTAGATGTGATAAAGTTAAATATACTTGGACATTACAAATGAATAAATGAAATTTAATTTAAAAGATAATGTAAATTATATTAAATTAAATTATTAAAATATAAACATATAAGAAACAAAAATATAAAAATAATTTATTATATTAAAAAATAATTAAAATAAATTATAAATAAATTTAAAAATTAAATTTAAAATAATTATATTCATTGTATTATATTTAGAATATTTTTATATTCTATTATTTATATTATTTCATTGCATTGTTTATTTTATATTATCTTAGTTAACAAACTTTATTTATTTTGTTTTAAGAGAATGAAAAAAAAAAATTACTAATAAAATTAGAAATTAAAATTATTTATTAAAAACTAAAATCATTTACTAAAAATTTATAATTTATTTCAATTTTTCTCAATGTCATTATATGTAAGAGTTAATCATATTACACGTATTTGATAAATTATGTTTTTTTTTATTTTATTATATGAATTTAATATTTTTATTTACTTTAATTTATTATATAATAATAAGTTATTTTATTTATTATTTATTATATTTTACAATTTTTATACTTTATTATCTTATACTAATATTATTTTTATTTTATTTATTTTTATTTAATTTTATTATCATTTTTTTATTTGAAAATTTATATAATTAAATTTAGTAATTAAAAAATATAAGTTTATTTAATTTTAATTCATTCTACTATATTAAATTTTATCTTACTTTATTTTAATTTAATGGTTTCATTATTTTTATGTTAATAAGATTTATTTCAAGTTGTTATTACTATTAATAATTATTTAATTTATTTTTATTACCTATTAGATTTTTATTTATTTTGTTACTTTATTTTTATTTTATTTTATTTTATTTTATTCATTTTATTAAATTTATTCATTTTATTCATTTTATTCATTTTATTCATTTTCGTATATATTATATATATATGTGTGTTCAATAATTTACACAACATTCTAGTAGCCCAGGTGGTCATGTGTGCGTGCTCTTCCTTTCCAACTTGGGTTCGAGTCCCACCACCTACACTCTATTTATTTTGGCTTTTGAAATAAAATTCTGGAGGGTATAATGGTAAATTACTAATTGTGAAAATAAAAAAACTGAACAAATCTCGCATATGGAGAATGTGTCATACACGCGCGGTTAACTTGGACGGAATGGGGGAATCGTGCATCGGTTACTTAAACACAAGGGGGTCTGGTGCAGTTTTTAAAACACAGTGGGGAAACGCGCACATTTCGTTAAACACAGGGGGGTTTGGTGCAATTTACCCAAATATTATATTTTATCTATCTAACTATACGGAAATTTACACTTTTCACGCAATTTTTTTTTTATCTTTTTTATACTTTGCCTACCTAATATTAATTTTTTGTACACTTTGTCATTTTCGGCACTGTCGGCAACACGTGGCAATAAGGCACAATAGCCACGTATTGGTTTATGATGCCGACGGTGACCGGAAAATAGCAAAGTGTACAAAAAAATCAAAGTTAGGTAGACAAAGTGTGGGAAAAAAAGTTATGTGAGCAAAGTGTAAATTTTCAAATAGTTAGGTAGGTAAAGTGTAATTTTCCCTAATTAATTAAGCACAATAAGATAGCCACAATCAACCAACCCTCCAAAAGCCGCCATAATTTAGCTTGAACTTCAGAGGCCAACCAGCAATCAAATAATCCCACCTGCAGGACATGAGACAGAAACCAAGAGCCAGAAAATCACAGAAAACTGACAGATGAACCACTGAACTTCAATAGAAGACCTAGCCAACTCCCAGACCTCTGCTTAGACCTTTACACCGCTGCTAACTTGAAATTCCTGCCAATCCTTTACAACAACTTCAACCACTGCCTTCACTGACATCCAAATGCTTTGGAATTTCTACAGGTTCCTTAATTTCCAAAGCCACTTAAATAAGTGGAAAGCTGAATTATATCTTCTGAAATGGCTCTTCTATCTACAGAATAGATGTTATTCCACCAGAGTCTGAAGCTATTCACTCAGTTACAGGAATATCCCAACTCACAGGAGCTAACTTCCACATTATTTTAGCTCTCTCAAACTGGAAAAATAAGTGCTCAACTATCTCATGTCCTTCCCCACAACAGTGATAAATGACATCCACATCCGTCCCCCTAACTTTCAAATTGTAGCAAGTAGGTAAAGCATTGTTATAACAATTCTAGATAAAATGTTTCAACTTACCTTTCACTTTCATTGCCCAGCTTCTTCTCTTCACCTTTTTTTTCCTGGACTGCAGTGATGTTCCCCTCTGCCATATCCATTTCCCTAAACTTTTTAACAATGCTATTTGAGTAACTAGCAACAGAGAATAAAACCTTTTGGATCCAGAGTCTAAGTCCATATGTCCTTTGTCCTCCCCTGACCCAATCTGACTTGCATGATTTTGTTTCTTTCTGAAGGAGAAAAGAAGTCCCTCAGAAGCTCTAAGTTCCAACTACCACCATTTTCCTCCATAAGTTCCTTTGCCCACACCATCTGGTTGTTGCTTCTTCTAATAAGTTCACTACTCCGAGTTACAGTGCCATATAACCAAGGATCATTCCAGATATTTGTAGAGCAACCATCTCCAACATGTACCTTGAAAAATTGTCTATATTTATCCCTGACTTTCACCCATTTAGACCAATGTTGTAGCACAAATTGTTATTTTTACCGAGTAGCAAATCAAAAGAATTTTTCCCCGGGTCGATCTCACGAGGAAGGCGGTTCAGAATTTAGCTTCGTTATTGATCACACATAAAAGAAAATAAAATTCTAAACATTCTAATTGTTGTTGTGTGATTCTTAACAACAATCTAATATTGAATGTATTTAACGATAACGAATGATTTGAACGTAAAGCATGGACGAAACACTCCACAATGGCCCCGGTCCGAGGTGAACCGAGGTGTAAAGCTTCTATGAGCTGTTTCGTGTTAATGACCAAGTAGTTCGGTTTGGGAAAAAAATCAGATCCCCTACAAGTATTATCAGTTCGCTATTTATAGTAACCTTTTTGATACACATATCGGGATCCGTGTATTGCTTTTTCCATAAAGCTACTTTTTGATGGACAGCAGGATTAGTGGGCCCCGCTTGAATGATAGCAGATCTCGTAGTTTGTGAGAAGGGCGTGTAGGCACCTTGTCACCTGCTTAGGAGGTAACGACCTCGGTTTGTGTTGGCCTCGGTTTGGGATGACCTCGGCTAGTAATGATCACTTCGGTCTTTTGCGGTTATGTCGGTTTGTCGTGTGAACCAGGGTGACTTCGGATCACGGCGATGTTGGGGTTAAATTTGCTTAAGATGCTGTTCGAGGCCCTTAAGTATGCTTTACCGAGTCGGATGATAATAGAGAGGCCCCCAATATCGACGGGCATACGGAGTGATGGTCGTAGAAATTGCAAAACAATTAGAGGCTCCGAATCGGTAGCAAAGTGAGAGTGGAAATATTTGTCCTCGATGCTCCGATGTATGCGAGGTTACCGAAGTGGATCGTGTGCACCGAAGTGGGAGCTGATTTCCGAGGTGAGAACACTTGGCGAAATTTTGACAGATAATGGGCAGTGTTTGAAATAACTCGAAGGAACGTAACGGTCGGGCATATTAAATGTACAGTGTGAAGAGTCGCGCCATAATAGCCTTAAGTACTGTAACGACTACTTTAATAAAATAACGGCCACTTGCTCGCACCGTTTGGGAAGGAAAAGTCGCGTCGATTACACGTGCTACCGATTGAGAATGCTAACGGTCAGAAATTAGGGCTTATAAATAGGGCACCGGGATTTTTAATCGACTTTTCTTCACTTTCACGTTAATACTTGAGTTCTTGCAAACAGAAATCTTGTTGTCGAATTTTCCTTGCAAACTTGAGAACTATCATCCCTT